CTTTGCCCGCCACAGTTCACTAGCAGGCTGATCGCCGCGGCCCGCCGCTGCCCCGGCAATGTGGCAGTTGCCGAGGAGGTTGCTCCAGGCCACTGCAACCTGCCGGCCCCCGAGTCAGTTTCCCAGTGGCCTCCGCAGCCGCCCCAGTCACCGCAGCTGCTGCCACCGAGCCCAGCCTCGTCAGCGCAGCGCCGCCGCCCCAGGCCCGCCCACTGTGCTAGCTGCCCGCGACTGCTGCAGTCCGCCTGGCACCCGCCTGGAGGGGAAGGACGGCGGGACGCCGCTCCCTGCGCCCCCTGCTGGAGCGGAGGAAGAACTGAATCTCTGCGCGCTGCAGCCGCCGCCGCACCGCCCTCCACGCCGCCAATCAGGGATTCCAGGCGCTAAAGGGCTGGGGGCACTTCACGCCAACCCCCTCCTCAGCCTTTGCATCAGCGGCTCGTTACTAAGCAGTAGCTGCAGGCCTTTGAAAAGGGACTTGGCCAAGGTAATACTGTGGTTGTGTGAGAAAGAATCCAGATGCCCTGGTTCCCAGCACATTCGATCACCCTGTCCCAATTTTAAAGTATTTATTGAGCTCCTGCAGATGTGTGCCCAGCACTGTGCAATGGACTTGAGGGAAAATGAGCCAAGCAGAGAAAAATAGTCCCTGCCTATAATTCTCACCAAACACTGAGAATTACAGGAACGGCCACCAGGGTACTTAGGGCTGCTGAACACGAAGAGGTCTTTTGTACTCTGTGCTGTGGCTTGCATTATGCATTCTGGTTGGACTGCCCTGCCATTTCTCCCTTACTAATCCTTAAAGCCACAGCTAAAACGCTACCTACGTTGTGAAACCTTCCCTGACTCTCAAAGGAGAATTAAGTATTCCTGCCAATGCTCCCATAGAAAGGGTGCTTAACTTGTTCAATTCAAATCAACTTACAGTGTCACATACTGTTCATTCTTTCATCTGTATTTAGATAAGTGGTTCCAGATTGTGGATGCATATATTTTTTTTAAATATTCAGAGGAAAACACAAGATTGCCAATTTATTTTGCCAACTGAACGCGATTTCAAAAATTACCTACTAGTATTTTGTAGAAAGAAGCACATTTCCATATAAAATGATGTGAACCCTGAGATCTAAGAATGGATCCTGGTGGCTAACTGTGCTAAAATTTTTTTAGAAAAAGCAGAGCCTCGCAGCCATTTCTGCACAGGAGCCTCTCACGCAAAATGCACTTGCAGAGTAAGGCTACACTACACGCCTGCATTTTGTTTCTGCCAACTGAGCCAGCCCTTATAAAGGAGTTCCTGGCGTCCCATTTCAACCAATAAGACAGAGTCTTTACCCATCCAATCGGAGCTGTGCAGCTCTGACCAATCAGAGAGGCTCTATGCTGACCAATCAGGGACGAGGGGCGGGGCCTTCTGGCTATATAAGTCAGCTCCCCGGCGACTATCTCAAGCATTTTCCACGGAAGATTGAAGACTGCTGTTTGCTTCTGGAGCAGAAGAACCGAAGATCGCAGCGGCGCAGAGCGGCGCAGAGCGGCGCAGAGCGGCGC